ATAATGGAAAGTTTCTTCCCGTGTTGATATAGCAACAGTAGGGGCAATTGCTTTGTTCTTATTGCGCAGAACCGGAAGAAGTAACGGCTTGGAAAGTTCTTGATATTGCACACAACTGCACATGCGTGCAACCTCAGGCATAGGCGTGCGTACGAAAGGAAAGCGTTAACAAAACTAACTTACGCGGATAATAATAATAATAATAATAATAATAATGAACTTATCATCCTCATCATCATTATCAACGCCACTATTATTTATTCAGTATATATTTATATGATCGCTATTTAGTTTTGTTTTGATCGTTTCAAAAAGCAATAAAGGCAACGTAGGGTGAGGATAGGGGATACTGACTGTGAAAGATAGAAGAACAGAATTTAAGAGGACATAAAATAACGGTTGACGCTGCCTTTAATGTTGGCTGGAAAGCAAGGAGCCGGAAGAGAGTTCCAAAAGCGAGGAGTGCGGGAGGTAAAACAGTTGGCATCGAACTTACGGTTACAGCTATCAATTTCAATTGCGAAATTATGAGACCTAACTGCCAATTTAGTACAGCGTTTAAATTCGTAAAGTTTAGGTACGAAAGAGGAAAGCACATCAGAACAATTAGCAGGGAAATCTTTTTTTTAGAAAAGACACAGTGAAGCTACGTTACGGCAGTGGGAAAGTGACTAAACCCGAGATGCCAGGTCAGGACCTATAACACACACACACACACACACACACACACACACACACACACACACACACACACACACACACACACACATATATATATATATATATATATGAAAGTGGATGAGTAAGTTCCTATCTTAAAACATTAGATGCATTTAAATTTATGGTGTTTAACGTTCAATGTGATTAACTGGAAACGTTATATTAAGTGCATTGACATTGAAGTAGATTATATTTAAAAGACATAATTGTTGTGTAAAATAAATTCCTTTTTATTGTTAGGGTACGACTTAGTGATGTATTCACGTATATATATATATATATATATATATACACTGCGTGCCAAATTATTATCGAGATAACTTTTTTTCTAATATTTCAAAAATCGTCAAATCAATTCACACAAAATTTTCACATAATGTTGGCAACACTGAGCTGCGCAATCACTGAAATGTTCGTACTGATCTGCGCAATGTAAACGATCTGGCGCCATATTTGTTATCAGCACGGTGATTTCAGCGTGCCAAATTATTAGAAAAGTGTAAGAATTTAGTGAAAAGATGGGCCGTAAAAGCAGTTTAAGTGATGCTGAAAAGAAAATTATCACCTCAGAACTCTCAAAAGGTAAATCTACCCTAGAAATTTCTAAAATGATAAGGAAGTGTCATCAAACAGTGAAAAAGTTCACCGCCAACCCTACACAAGTACGCAAAAGTGCAGATAAATGCAAGCCGAGGGTTATTTCACGTCGTCTCATGTCACGACTTAAACGAGAGGCCACGAATAACCATGGACTTACCAGTCAAGAGCTTTTCAATCGCATTGGGGATCCTACTGTGTCTAAAAGTACTCGGTGTTGGTATCTGAGGGAAATAGCAACAACAGTCAAACCTGTATCGAAGCCTCCATTGACGAGAAATCACATTCAAAATCGATTGAAATGGGCCGAGGACAATATGAAGATTGACTTCTCTAAAGTTTTGTTCACAGACGAAACTCGAGAAACACTTGATGGGCCAGATAGCTGGGTAATGAACGGACAGAATCGCCATCAGCGTTTGAGACGCCAGCAAGGCGGTGGAAGCATAATGATCTGGGGTGCTATTATTGGAAAAACATTAGTGGGCCCATGGAGAGTACCAGATGGCGTCAAAATGACTGCTGATGCATACATAGCGTTTATGAAGGAGCATCTTGAACCGTGGATAAAAAGGCAAAGAGTTACCTTCAGAAGGGCCATTGTTTTATGCAAGATAATGCTCCCCCTCATGCTGCTCACAAGACTACTGAATATTTGAAACAGTTAGGTTTCGATGGACCTCGAAAAATGAAGTGGCCAGCAAATTCTTCGGATTTGAACCCAATCGAAAACCTTTGGAGCATCATGAAGTGAAGACTGTACACCAACGGACGACAATTCAGGAGCAACGCTGAGTTGTGGGAAGCAATCTTGACATATCTCGCGGCATTACATCAGATGACACCCTACAATTAACAAATTCTATGGATCGTCGACTTCTTTAAGTAATTTCAAAACAGGGAAAGCACATTCCCTATTAATTTGTTTAAAACTGTGCCTTTGTTTGTATCTGTTATTATTTGTTTGATTATCTTATTTATTAGCTTCTTTTGATCATAAACATCCACTTGCAACATTAATAAACTTTTTGTTTGATCAATTCTGGGAATTTTACTAAACCTTTATAATAATTTGGCACGCTGAAATCACCGTGCTGATAACAAATATAGCGCCAGTTTGTTTGCATTGCGCAGATCAGTACGAAAATTTCAGTGATTGCGCAGGTCAGTGTTGCCAACAGTGTGTGAAAAATTTGTGTGAATTGATTTGACGGTTTTTGAAATATTAGAAAAAAGTTATCTCGATAATAATTTGGCACGCAGTGTATATATATATTTGTGTGTGTGTGTGTGTGTGTGTGTGTGTGTGTGTGTGTGTAAATAAAAACAAAAACAAAAGTTTCTTTGTCAACGCGTTTCATCCCCTGAGGGACTTTATCAATGTCAATATGAGGATTTTATTTTGTAACATGGATTTGTATACAGGAGTGAAAATATCGTTAAATTTTAAAATTTTCAAAATTTAAATACGCCCTTTAGAATATTCTTAAAAACTAACCCTGTAAGAAATGCAGGACGCTAATATATATATATATATATATATATATATATATATATATATATATATATATATATATATATATATATATTGAACGCGTGTAGAGGCTTATCCCAGGTTTCCTGTTTAGGATTTGGTTTCCGGTTGCTTCTAAATTCTACTTCAACTCTAAACTCCTAACTGAGCTCTGAAATTTTCTATGATCCGTGATCTGAGAGATGTAAAGTAGGCCTTCTTGATAAGCATGTAGTTGTTTATACTGCTGTGCGAATGGTAATGGACGCGAGGCTGCACGGCTGTATCAGATTGCGTTTCCTGACTGAAGGCAGCCGAGTCATCCAACGTTTGCCGCTGTTTATCATCGCGTTGCTCAGACAGGATCCCTGGCACTACAAGTTATAGTTCGAGGAATACTGACATCCACTCGTACGCATTCAACAGGCTGTCAGAGACGAACTAGGTATCAGCGCACGTCATGGGGTCCTAGTATGTCGTACATAGTACCGCATGGAGAAGATCCTTATTTGCAACGTGTGCAGGGTCTTTTGCTCTCTGATCACTCCCCACAGGAGAACTTATCTAGATAGATAGATCACTGAAGTCTTGAACTGGAGTGTCAGTATCTATCTATCTATCTATCTATCTAGATAGATAGATAGATAGATAGATAGATAGATGGGTGACATAGAAACCAGCACTGCGCAGTGAATATCAGTTTTACGCCTTAAGTTATCATCAAATCCTGTGTTAGTCACAATTGCCATAAGCTAGGAGCTTATTAAAAGTATGGAGGAAAGTATGTCCGAGTATGGCCTAGTTTTTAGAGCCTTGGCTCTGTTGATATTAAAAAAAAGAAAAATGAGCCTAAGCAGGAGTCTGCAACAGGGATCAGCTAGACATCCTAGCAGATGTACATACTCAGTAACAAGCAGCGATTATTATTATTATTATTATTTCATTTATTTTCAGAATTCACTCAGATGAGATCTTTATACCTGGTAATTAAAGCATGGTTAGCGGGCTACAAGATGAGCTTGTGCAAATAGATGGCGGAACAGTGTTTAGGAGAGATAACAAGTAGACAAATTTTACTAAGAGCTACAAAGGGCAGGAAATAATGGAGAGCCATGATCGCCAATGTCCTGAAGGAACACGGCACACAATAAGAGAAAAAGAGACTGACTGTTCCTTTTAGGTCCCAGAAAAGGGTTTATATGAGGGGGTGATGAAAAATTCGACTTACTTTTCAAAATCAGTAACTTTAATGACTAATGAGAAATCTGATTTTAGGAAATAGGTCAGGCCTCGTATTAGAAACTTCAGGTATGAAAATTGGTTTAGTTTCTTTGTTTAACGGCAAATCAACTACTTATGGGTCATTTAATGCCAAAATTTGATTTTCTTGTGAGCTTTCGTATTTTTTCTTTTCCAAAAATGTATTGCTAGTATTTTTTTTTCTATGAAAAGGGATTGTTGGAAATTTTTAGTAATGTGCTTTTAGATTTCCATGTTTTAATCCCAATTTGAAGGTTCGCTATATGCAGGGACCCTAACAGGTGCTACCACCCTGGGTCAGGGTGGACCTGGGAACACCAGCAATTAAGAGGTGGTTCCACGCTCCTCAAAACCTCCTGATCAGAGGCCTTGCTGTCAGATTTAGTTTATCGCCATAGCCTTGTCTGAAAACACGGCTGTTCAACTGAGCTCAAGCAACGTCGAGTCTGATCTTTTACTGGCTTAGGTAACCACTTACAAACGTCAGCTGCTACCAGTGAATTCTAGCTTTACATACTAAGGCAAATTTATTATTAGGTTGGTGCAAAATAATGACGTAATAATGTCGTTTTTGACGTATTTTTAACGTCAAAAACGACATTATTACGTCATTATTTTTGCACCAACCTAATAAAATAAGCTAAGAATCTCGCATTGATCAACATACAGGGTGTCCATAAAGTTCGTGTGCACTTTCAAAAAATTTATAACTTTATTTGTATTTGCGATAGAAATAATCTGTCAAAAATGTTATAAAGTTTAATGTACCTAGATTTAAGTAGAGCTAAAATAACTAATGTGATTTCAGGCATTACTGTAAATCAGTTGGCAAATGTTTTCCGTGAACTGCAAAATCATATTACCCTTTGAAACAAACTATAAGTAACAAATCTTCAAATTCAAGGGGCTTGCAGCAATATGAAGTTGAAACACCGGTTCTCATACGATCACCGAAGTTAAGCAATGTCGAGCCTGGTCAGTACCAAGATTCCGCTGAGGAATACCAGGGACTGTAATCTTGGATGAGTGTGTGACGTTATGGATAACGGCTTAGAATTGGAAATCGGTTTAGTGTTCTTTCTATTCACTTATACGCAAATATCCTTGTGAAAGGTATGGCGACATCTCTTCCCCCCAGCTATGGGTTAATTAGTAGGATGTGTATCAGTAAATCATTATTATCTAACTTCTTGCAATTTAAAAATATTTCCCGGTTTTAAATAAGCGTGCAAAAAGGTTAAAAAAATCAATCAAACAATCGACCCAATTCAAAGGCAAAGAGCCACTCAAAGTAGAGGCTACTGAATGAGGTTTTATGGGCATAAAAGGAGGAAGTGAATGAAAATGATGAGGATATGTAGGATAGATAACGGTTGACCTTAAACTAGAAAAGCTTAAGATTGTGATGATTGGGGAAGCATCCTCTCTCAGTCAGTTATCAGCTTAGGCGATCATGTATCTTTCGATTCAAACTCGGCTCTCCGATTCCTCAATCCGAGCCGCCAGCCATTACGCTACTGTGCTTCCTCGGAGAGCCGAGTTCGAATTTCACTCGAATCCATTACATACACTTACGTGCTAATACCCTTAGGAAAGGCATGAAGCCTCTTTTTCTCCAACCCCTGTTATGGGCAAATAGCAGGACAGACCGGGATCTATAGCTTTGGATGGCAACTGGTCTACCGCAGAAAGAAATGGCAACCTACTGCGGGAAAAAATCTTCCTTGTCAGTCATGTATCAAAAGATACATGATCGCCTAAACATGTATCAAGCGTAGCATATAACTGACTGACCCCTGGGAAAGATATGAATCCTCTTCTTCTACCCCACTCCCACAGCTATGAGTAAATAGCAGACCTGGTTCTATAGCCTTGGATGGCAACTGGTCTACCGCAGAAAGAAATGGCAACCTAATGCGGAAAAAAAAATCTGCCTCGTCAGTCATGTATCGAAAGATACATGATCGCCTAAGCGTGTATCACGAATGGCACATAACTGACTGATTCTCTCTAGAACCTGTTAAAAAAGAAATTATCTGAAGTTACTGCAATAGTTTAAAGGGAGGAAATAAAACGTGTATATTATGAGGATATGTAGGATAGATAACGGCTGATCCTAGACGTGAAGTGGTTAATCTCGGAGAAATTGGGGAAACATCCTCTCGGTAGCCTGTCCCAATATTAGAAATTAAAAAAAATCCTATAAGCAAACTAATGTAAGCATTTTTCTTCTGTTATGTAGGCCTTACAGTGCGAGAATTTTGCTTTACACCATCTTAAAATGTCTATTTTATGTGGTCAAAAAAAAAAAGAAAAAGATTTTTTTTATTTTATCAGACTCAGAGGGAAAGAAACCGATTAAATTATCCCCGGGGGAAGAATTACCAGGAGAGAAGCAGAAGATCAGGGGTAAAAAGAAAACAAACAAACAATGGGAACACGGAAAATGGCGATAAAATTATTACTGAAGATATCAAAGAGAAAGGTGGACGAAAACGAGGCGGAAAGGGAAATAAATGGGATTTGAAGAAGTCAGCTGATCGAACCAATTTGATATAGAAATGATGAGATTACGTTTTTTCTCTCTCTCTCTCTCTCTCTCTCTTTCTCTATCTATCTATCTATCTATATCCCATTCTGTTCATATCTATCTACCTTTCTATCTATCTATCTATCTATCTATCTATCTCAGTGTGTTCATATCTATCTATCTATCTATCTATCTATCTATCTCTCATTCTGTCCATATCGATCTATCTCAGTCTGTTCATATCTATCTATCTCAGTCTGTTCATATCTATCTATCTATCTATCTATCTATCTATCTATCTATCTATCTATCTATCTATCTCATTCTGTTCATATCTATCTATCTCAGTCTGTTCATATCTATCTATCTATCTATCTATCTATCTATCTCAGTCTGTTCATATCTATCTCAGTCTGTTCATATCTATCTATCTATCTATCTATCTATCTATCTATCTATCTATCTATCTATCTCAGTCTGTTCATATCTATCTATTTCAGTCTGTTCATATCTATCTATCTATCTATCAAGGGCGATGATGATCTCGCTCGACAAGAGAATGTTCATAGAAAAATAAATAATATTTGTTAATTTGGAAGTGGGTCAGACCCAGAACCTTTTTTTCTTTCTTTCTTTTTTTTTCTTTCTTTCTTTCTTTCTTTCTTTCTTTCTTTCTTTCTTTCTTTCTTTCTTTCTTTCTACGGATATGCCTTAACAATCTTTTCTTTTTAATACTTCTATTTCCTGTTGGCTCTCTCCACACGATATCGCCGATGGTAAAAAAAAAAAAAAAAAAAGAAAAAGCTCACTCAATATTTCGAGCATTCGACCAAAAACCCACGCGCATAGCACGCATGCGCTCACCCATGCGCACAAGTGCACATACCCGTAGCCTATTATTCACTTGATTTTATTTCCCTGGCAAGATTCTTCGCATCATCTAACTTGCTATTATCTTCTGCAAAACGAACCAGTCAAAATGAACGATAGGAGCTAAGAACGTGAAAAAAAAATCACAGCTTTTGTTGCAGCGATGATTATCAAACAACAATATATACAAGAAAAATAATGCAACTCTGGTTCTAAGAGGAATATTCACAGCTCAAAACTCAACCCAAACATTGTAATATGATAAAAATATATAAAGCCCAGCCGTTAATTTTGTATCCTATAAATTCAGCAGGAATATTGAGAATGGTGATCATAACTGGAATCTATGAATCTTTAACCCATTAATGGACAATGTAGAAGACAATCGTAATTATTCATTTCTCGCAATAACCTGAATTGAAATAAAAAAAATTGTATTAACTGTAAAATCTTTCAACTACAACCAGTGACCTTTTATAGTGCCATATTAATTATAAAAATTGAAATAAAAATGTACTAATTATAGGTACATTATTTACATTATTCGGACTATTGTCCTCATCTTTGTCGCCATATTTATTACAACGTTTCGGCCGTTGTACGCTCCGGCCTTCTTCAGGTGGTTGGAATTTCGAACCGAATCCTTTATTTCGCTCACTGGGGTAGATTGTTCTAGTTCCACGTGCTGTGCTTGATGGATGTCAGTTATCAGTTATCTCCTGCTAATTTCCCTCTGAAAGTTCTCCACTGCCTTAACCGGGTATTGAACTCACACTCTTTGGGTCCTGTCACTGGATCTAACCAACGCCTTTATCCACTGTCCTTAAGGACATCTGGGTATGAATTTCTGGGTATTATAAACCTAATGTCTTCAGCAACCATTTTTACCAGTGCTCATATTGCAATTTTGCTGTTATCATTGCATGTTTTTACCAGAGCTCATATTGCAACTTTGTTGTTATCATTGCTTTTCTCTGGCACTCCTTATTACTGGTTCCCATATTGTATTTATTTCTATGCTTGGTCGGCTCAGGAGATTTTTGTGGCCTAGCATATATGCTGATTCCTTAAGTTTACGAATTTTCCAATGGTGTTCTTTTGTCTATGATCTCAACATAATCCCACAGAGGGCGGTGATCTCCCTTCTCTCTCCATATGTGGTCAGCCACGCCTGATTTTTCTACTTCCCCTCGTGTTACAGCTTTCTAGTGTTCTTGAAGGCTTACCTTAAGGGGGCTGCCTGTCTCCCCTTTATATTTCTTTCCGCAGCTGCACGGGATAGCGTACACGCAGTCTTTAGTCATGTTCCCCTCTGTGGGTGGTCTCACTCGAGAGAGATATCTGCGAAGTGTCGTCAAGCTTTTGAAGGTTGTCCTGATGTTATATGGACCGCAGATCATTTGTATTTTCTCTGATAACCCCTTCACATAAGGCAGGCAAACTGTTTTCTGAGTTTTGTTGTCCTCCTCCTCTTGTACCCGCCTATCCCAGTTTTGGGGGGCTGCTGCCATGTACCCAGGGTAGTTGTTACGTTGTAAGGTACTACTTATACTGAACAATTCTTTATCTAACGTCTCTAAAAGGTATTTTAAAAAAATCGGTATCAGATTTAAAAATAAAAATGAAAATCTGATATGAATTATTGGTTAAAAGATATCAATTAAAAAATACTTATTAATTATAAAATTTAAAAAAAATCTTGTATTAATTATAGATTTCTCGTAAAAACCTAATATTAATTATAAAAATTAAAAAGATCTAATATTAATTATAGATTTCTGAATATATCTCATATTAATTATAGTAATTAAAATAAAAAATTCTGCTGTTAATTATAGTTTTCTATAAATTCATTATTATTTATAAACATTAAAATAAATATCAGGTTTAATTATAAGTTTCTAAAATCTTACTATTAATTATAAAAATAAAAATTAAAATCCTTTATTAATTTTTAGTTTCCCAAAAAGATGGGTATTTATTTTAAAAATAAAAATTCTGTATATAGGTCAAATAAATCTGGCAAGATGATATAACCTTGTCTTAAGACGCTTTCTAGTTTTCTTTACTTGCTCAATTCTTATTCTATACGTATGCAGGCGGCTTGTTCCCAGCAAATGTTCTGGATTACTCTAATCCTTTTCTCAAACTTTGCAATAAACAGAGTAAGTATTTAAAAGTAAATATTTAATGTATTAAATGTTATTAATATTATTAATTGTATTATATATATATATATATATATATATATATATATATATGAAGAAAAATTTGGAAAAAACAAACAAAAAATCCTTAAATGCAATTATGTTGTTTAAAATGAATGAAATGTCGACGTCTGACGTTTCGGTTTAATAAACCTTTTTCAAGACAATATTCATTAAAATACAATTCAGTTCAATTTGACAAAGACGATGGACATAAACAACAAGTCTGATCCAAAACGGATAACTGAAAATTTTTAAAATGATCAGCTTTCCGTTTAGCATGGTCACGTTGTCGTCACATGGGCGACGCTTTCAAAACGTATTCCTAAAAATTTTTGATTATTTTGAATGAAAAAGAAAATGAAAAGAATTCTATTATTAATTTTTGATTATTTCATTCAAAAGGAATA